CAAAAACTTTTGCTTTGAAAAAGACCTTGTTAAATTGCTTGTTGTGGTGGCTCATTCCTATAATCCCAGCACTTTAGGAGGCTGAGGTGGTAGGGTTGCTTGAAGCTAGGAGTTCAAGACCAGCCTGGGTGACACAGCAAGACACTGTCTTTATTAAAAAAAAAAAAAAAAAATTAAATCAGCTGGGCGTGGTGGCACACCCCTGTGGTCATAGCTACTTAAGAGGTTGAGGTGGGAGGATCACTTGAGCCCAGGAGTCTGAGGTTGTAGTGAGCTATGATCATGCCACTGCACTCCACCAGAGTGGGAAAAAAAATTGTAAATCATATATCTGACAAAGAACTAGTATCTAGAATTCATAAAGAACTCTCAAAACTTAACGGTAAGGAAAACAATCTAATTTAAAAACGGACAAAAGACATGAACAAACATTTCAGTAAGAGGATATACAGATGGCAGTTAAGCACATGAAAAGATGTTCAACATCATTAGTCATCAGAAATGCAGATTAAAACCCACAATGAGGCTGGGCACGGTGGCTCACTCCTGTAATTCTAGCACTTTGGGAGGCTGAGGCAGGCAGATCATGAGGTCAGGAGATGGAGACCATCCTAGCTAACACGGTGAAACCCTGTCTCTACTAAAAATACAAAAACTTAGCCAGGTGTGGTGGTACGTGCCTGTAGTCCCAGCTACTTGTGAGGCTGAGGCAGGAGAATCGCTTGAATCTGGGAGGCAGAGGTTGCAGTGAGCTGAGATGGCACCACTGCACACTAGCCTGGGCAACAGAGTGAGACTCTTTCTAAAAAAAAAAAAAAAAAAAAAAAAACACAACACATAATAAGGTATTACTACATTCCTCTCAGAATGGCTTAAAATATTGACAACAGCAAATGCTCGTGAGGGTGTGAAGAGGCTGGATCACTTATCCATTGCTGGCAGGGAGTAGAAAGTGGTAGACCCAGTCCTGTAAGGTCTGGAAGTTTCTTTAAAAAACAAACATGCATATGACCTAGCAATTGCACTCCTGAGCATCTATCCTGGAGAAATAAAAACTTCCTGTCACACAAAAATCTCAACATGATAGTTCATAACAGCTTTATTTGTAATTGCCCCAAACTGGAAATAACTCAGATGCCTTTCCACAGGTGAGTGGTTAAACTGTTACATCCATTTGATGGAATGCCATTCCGAAGTAAAAGGAAGCAACTATTGCTACAAACAATAACCTGGGTGAATCTCCATAGAATTATGTGGGGAAAAAATAGGACATACAGTGGAATAGTAACCAGCAGGGAACATGAAAGAACTGCTGCTATATGAATCAACAGATGGATCTCAGGAACATAATGTTAAGAAAAATGCAAGTCATAGGACAGAATATACAGTTTGAGATTTTATATAGAATTCAAAAGATGCAAAACAAAAAAGTATTGTTGGAGACACACTCAAATGTGATAAAAACTCGGAGAAAAGCCAGGGTTCTGGATTTCCAAGCTGGGGAGGGAGGGAGGGGCAGAAACACCCAGGGGCATCAGAAGTACCATAATGTTTGAGTGCTCCAGCCAGGTGGAGTGAAAAAACCCTATACCAAAAGGTGACATACTGTGTAATAATGCCACTTATATAAGATTCTTGAAATAACACATTTACTGAAATGAAGAACAGATTAGTGGTTGCCAGAGGTTAGGAAGGGGTTGAGGGTGGGAGGAAAGTGGGTGTGGCTATATAAGGGGAACATGAGGGCTCTTTGTGGTAACAGAAATGTTCTGTACCTTGACTGTCTTAATGCCAGTATCCAGATTGTGATATTGTAGTATATACTTCTGCAAGATCTTACTCTTGGGGAAAACTAGGTAAAGGATACACAGATCTGTCTTTCTTTCTTTTTTTTTTCTGACTTTTTGTGAATCTACAACAATCTCAAAAAGTTTAATTAAAAAAATATATAATAGCAAAGGGCTGAGGATAACCAAGATCTTGAAGAAAATGAAAACTATAGGTGACGCTGTAGTGCTATAGGATCTGACTAATATTTTTGAAAAATAGTATGGCATAAAATTAAACATACATTTTTTATATCGCGAATTACCTACTAATAAATATCTTAGAAAAACTTCACAGGGGCATCAAGAGACATGTAAAGAATGTTGATAGCAGCATTGTTTGTTAATGGCAGAAACAAAACTGGGTGCATTTTCCAATGCACTGGTTTCCTAATCAGTATGGTTATGGAAGATGTTACCATTGTGGTTGCTGGGTGCAGGATACACAGAAACTCCCTGTACTATTTTTTGTAATCTTTATGTGAGTATACAATTATTTAAAATAAAAAAAATTAAATGACACATTTTACTGAAAATCATTAAAAAATTGGGGCATGAATGGAATACTAATCAGCGGTGAAAATGAAAGAACTGCTGCTACATGAATTAACAAATGGATCTCAGGAACATGATGTTAAGAAAAATGCAAGTCAGGACAGAATATACAGTTTGATACCTTGCATGAAAATCAAAAGATGCAAAACAAAACCAAGTATTGTGAAGGACACATCCAAATGTGAATAAATTCAAAGACAAGCTGAGATTCTGGATTTCCAAGTTAGGGAGGGAGGAAGGAGAAGAAAACTCCTGGGGTCCTGAAAGGTACTGTAATATTTGAGCTCTCCATCTGTGTAGAGGGTAAGTGGGCACTCATAGTGACAGGTTTTCTTTGTAACTCACATATACACAGCACATACCAAATAGGAAGCATATACCAAAATAAGAATTTTTAAAAACGGAACACACAGATGCTATGTGGAAGAAACTCTTTTTAGTGAGGTTTCCAACCTGAGGTTCAGTGGCCAGATTTTCTACCTGGAGGAAGCCTGTCTGCTCTAGGGCAGGTTAAGGACAAGACCCAAAATTAGGGGAGACAAGCAATGACAGTTGGAGGAGAAAGACTTTGAGCAGAGCAGACTTGGAGTCTCTAAGGCTGTCATTTCCACAGCATGATGACTGCATTCTGAGAGCAACATCAGTATCTGTTCCAGCTACATGAGCCAGCCCAGTAGACAGAGTTGAGCTTTTGTCATTTGAACTAGAAGAATTACGATAGAGCCCCACCAAGGGTAAGGTGGACCATAGTCAGCCCAGCTGGGCCTGGTAAGCTTATGGGATGACTTGGACGCTTAGAGGTGCCCAGAGGGCCTCTGCCCCAGCACTCCCTCCCCTACTGCCATACCGCCTTACATGTGCAGAACCAGATGATCAGAGGAGGTACAGGACTTGCCTAGGCTTACCCCAAAGAGGTGCCTTTTCTGGCACACCTCAGCTGCTTTGTCTTGCCACCAGTGATTTCCTCAGGTCGGGATGAGAAGGTACAGGGAGATAGAACCAGATGTTAGGAGAAGGTGCAGGTTGGAGGAGTGTTGCATGGCTGGGTACCTTGACCCGTAGCTCCCTGGCCCTTCTTTGGAGGGATCACTTATAGAGACAGGAAGGGCTGTGACTTGGGAGTCTCCTCTCCTTCTAGAGCTTTTTTTAGCCCCAAGCTGGATATGGTCTTCTAGGAGAGTAGGAGCCCCAGAGAAGTAGGTGGGAGTCTGGAGGGTTACCCTCAGCCTGGTGCCTGCCACAGCCAGGCAGATATTCTAGGGTGATGACTTACAACCACTGGGGTTTCAAACTAAAGGGGATTATGAGAATAGGACAGTTATTTTGATTTGAGTTCTATATGTTCATTCAAACATTCAACAACTATTTCTTAAACTCCGAGCTATGTCCTTGGGATGCTCCAGTGGTGGAGCTTCAACTACTGCTTTTATGGAACTTCGGTCAGGTTTTTAACAAGAAATAGGAGAGGCATTTGAGGTAAGCATTCCAGGGAGACAGGCTTGCCTAAGCAAGCCCATAAGTCAAAAGGGTGTAGTAAGTGTCCACGAGAAATCTGGAGGTGAAGGCTGTGTCTCACTCCTTTCTCTTTGTATAACACATGTGTGCACACACCATCGTGTTCACCAACATGCAGATTATAATCTCAAATAAATGCTCACTGAACAGCCATAAATGAATGAGACCACCTGGTGGCAGGACAGTAAGGGACAGCTTTGTAAAACCTCAATTAACCAGCATACCTTAGGCTTGGGCTGACCTGGGAGTATTTCTAGCGCTTGGCGTCGGCTCTTTGCTCTCACCCACTCACAGCTTGGTCCGCATGCCTCGATGGGCCAGGCCAGTAGAGGCCAAGGAGAGGTCGCCCACCTGTCCTCAGTTAGCTCATTGTCGAGATACACCTAATTGCCAGGGTGGGGAGTGGCGTTGTCAGCCTGCTGACCCCAGGATCAAGAAACATAGGGCACCGTCCTGGAGATAGAGGCACTGGCATTGAGAGTGTCACCGTTCCTTCTCTCCCATGGGGTAGATTAGGATTTAGCACAATATGATCCAAATGACCGCTGGTTTGAGGTAGACGCGCCCTATATTGGCAGCTCCTCTCTGGCTGGCCAGATCTGCAGAGGCACCCACAGACCCACAAGAGGCCGCCCAAATAAAAGGTCTAGGCCTCGTGAGGGGAGGGGGAGCTAGAAGCCACGGGGGGCAAGATTCGAGCCCCATCTGCGCCAGGTACGCCAGGTTCGCCAGGTTTCCTTAGGTCTGCCCGCCCCGAGGCGCCTCGCCACACCCTGGCTCTCCCCCACCTTCGTTCCTTTCCGCCCTGTCGGACGGCTGCGCCGTGCGTCGGTGTCTCGCGAGGTGGAGGAAGGGACTGGCATCTAGGTTTAAAAGACCAGAAACAAATGTCCCCTGACAATTTCGTGTCATTTTCTGGGTTCAAAAGACGGGAAGCGTGGGGAAGACAGACGTAGCGGGGCAGCGAGAGACGGTCCGATCCGGAGTCCCCTCAGAAGCACGGCCAGGCGGTTCTCTCCCGCCCGGCTGCGGGTCGGGGTGGGCGGGCGCACGCCCCCCAGCCCCGCAGCGCCGCGGGCCCCGCATGACATCAGAGGCTGGGGAGCGCGCAGAGCGCAGGCGCCGGCGGAGGAGGGAGGCGGGAGGGGGCCGACTGGCGCGGCTCTGGAGAGCGCTCCTCCGCCCCGCGCGCCGTCCCTGCGCCCCGCTCCGCCCGCGCCTCTCTTGCAGCGCCGCGCCTCGGGCGTAAAGAGCGCGCCCCTCGCACCGCAGTCAGCGCCGCCCGCAGCAGCCCAGCCCCAGCTTTCCTACGCCTCCTCCTCCTCCTCCTCCTCCTCCTCCTCCTCCGTCGCCGGACACGCAGCCGCAGGCCGGGGCCGGGACGCAGCTGGGGAGTCAGGGACACGCGCAGCCAGCCCTTCCCCCTCCGGCTCCCGCACCGCCGGCCGCCTCCCCTCGCCCTCCTCCTCTCCCCTCCCTGCTCCTTCGCTTCTTCCTCCTCCTCCTCTCCCGGCCCCGGCTGCCAGCATCATGTCCGCAGGGGGAGATTTTGGGAATCCACTGAGAAAATTCAAGTTGGTGTTCCTGGGGGAGCAGAGCGGTAAGTACCCGGCTTAATCTATTGGCTTGTCGCCGAGTCGACCCCCGCCTCCCAATCGCCCACCCCATTGGGACCCCCGGCCCCGGCTCGCAAAGGCCTCTCCTTGCCAGGGTGGAGGAGAGGGACGGGGAATGGGGAGGTCGGGGCCGGCTCGGGCGGGGTCGGACTAGGGAGGGGCCAAGGAAAGAGACGGAAAGAGGCGTTGGCGCCAGGGGTGGAGGTGAGGGTGGATTCTAGGTGGGGGGCCCGGGGTGCGGGTGCAGGTGCGGCGCGGCAGGGGGCCCGGAGGGCGGCGGCTTGCTCCAGGGCGCGGGCCGGGGCGTGAAGGACCCGGGCTCGCTGGCTAGCTCACACTGCGGCACCGGCTGCGGGCGACCGCGCAGGTGGCTGGGTGCTGGCGGGGGTGGGAAGAGCGACGGGCGCCCCCCTTGGAGACCGAAGCGAAGCCGGGGTCTGGCCGAGCCCCACTCCGCTGCACTTGGCGTTCCCTGCGGACCCTGCCGGGCACCATGCGAAGGAGCACGTCCAGGCCCTGGGACAAACAGCCACGGGGGGAGAAAAGACCGACACCTGTCTCTGCTCGAAAGAGCGAATGCAGGCCATGGAGAACCGGGCGCCTACCTCCCCTGGCTCACGTCCGACTCGGCACAGAAGGTTCTAGACCCGCTGCCCTTCGCCAGTGCTTGTTAGCCTCCTTGATGCCTAGGAGTCTGGGCAATGACAGTGAGGGCTCCCCCAACTCGAGGCGATTTGGGGAATGATACAGGGACACCTCACACCTGGCTCTGGGCAGAGAAAGGCCCAGGCGACACGCCCTGCCTTGCTTCCCAGCACTCCTCCTGAGAGCAACCGTGGATTCTTCCCACCCCCACCTCCCAGCTCCCAGCTCACCGCCCTTCTTGGGGGAGGGGAGGTCACCGTGGCAGCCGGCCAGAGCTGGGGGAGGGGGAGACTGCTTCTCCGCTGCCTGGCTTCCTCCCCAAAAAACATATCTGAAAACCAGGTTGGTTCTGAGGCGGGAAGCCCAGATTGAAGATCCGGGACCCCTCTGCCACCTGTAGGAAGGAGTGGCTTTCTGAGCATCCCTCCAGAGGCCTGGAGCGGGGCTGCGGGAGACAAGCTGAATCCCGGTCAGCTCTGCTGTGGGAGGACGCTGTCCTTAGGGGGTCAAGACCCCGGCTCTGGCTCTGCAGACCAGCCCTGTTCACCTGGGTTGGTACGTCTCTGACAAGGGAGGCCAAAAGAAAGGCACCAGTGGGAGGACTGGGTGGGCCAAGAACAGTGCTACTGTGCTGTATGTACAGGAGGGTAATGGAGGTCACGTGGCTGGCTCCTGTCTGCTGATGCTCATTGCCTGAGATGGATGGTTCAGAGAAGGGCGTTAGAAGGTAGTGTCCGGGCCCAATATGGAGATGGGTTTGAGGGCCGGGCTGGGCATTTCAGACAAGATCCACTCAGCCAGCTAGCTTTTGCCCTGGATTCTGATTTTCTGTTTCCAATGGATCTCAGTTTCATAGAGCTGACCGTTCCCTGTGTGTGTAAGGGATTTTGGGGGTTTTCACATCCCAGCGCTAGTCTCACCGGGCCTGCAGCGCTGGGAGATAACCTGCAGGGATCAGGCAGCCTGGGAGTTGAATTCTTAGCTGTGTTATCTTAATAAAAATTGAAGGCCTCTCTTTGACTCACTTTCTGTCTCTGAAAAATGGTCGCTTGAAGACAATTCTCTTCTTCATGTTTCCTTAGTGCCTCTCAAAGGGCCTGGACCCTGGTAGGTTCTCAACAAACATTTGTTTATTCTAAGTCTGCACAAACTTCAGAAGGGACTAGGAGTTTTGGGGAAGAAAGTGTCTCTGGTGAGTCTGAGGGAACATCTGGGTTCCCTCAGAATCCCTGATGAACTGAGGCCCCTGGTGAGCCCTACCCTGGTGAAGGACTTTGCTCCCAAAATGACAAAATGAGAGCTGAAGCCTAAGCAATGAACCCATCACCTCCCCCACAAGTTCACATGGAAAGTCTGAGCCCCAGGGAACCGGGAGGCCTTGCCCAGTGTTCCAGAATCCCACTGTGAGTTGTTCCTACTTCTGCGCTGGGGCCCCACCTCTTGTTCCCAGTATGGTATTTTTCACTAGCGTGTCATTGTGGAGTAAAGTAAGATGACCTTGAATTGGGGAAGCCAACAACTGGGGAGCCTCCCCGAGAGGAAGTGAGGGTTGCTGCTGTCTGGCCAGGCTTAGAGCTGGGGCTTGTGACTGGTAGAAATGCTGAGTAGTTGGTCAGGAGCAGGGTTGTGGTCCCTTGGAACATGGTCATTAGAGAAGCACTGCCGTCCATTAGATGGGCTGCTGGCCACCCTGGTGCCTTCTGAAGCAGGCCCTGAAAAGCCTGATTCCACTTTGTTGTGTCGTTAGTGGGTTGTTTTACAGAGCTTTTGAGTTAGGTGGGGCACATGTGCATCTCTGTGTAGGTAGGGATGGGGAGTCACCTCCACAGCTGCTGCTTCTACCTTGCCTGCACAGTTTGGCAGCTGTTGGCCATTTGTGCCAGCATCCTCTGCAGTGGAGAGAGCCTCCTAAAGGCTGACCTTCACCCTGACCGTGACTCTCCCTTTTTATATGACCTCAGAGGTCCTTTACCTTGTGTATATGGGGGACATGGGCCAGCTGAGCTCAGTAGAGTCTTCTAGAGCAGCATGGGCTTGCTGATAGGAGCCGAGTCCCCTGGAGAGGGGCCAGGAGAAGGAGCTAGAGGGATGTGGCTTTATCTTATTTCCTGTATCTAGCATAATGGTGGCATCTCTCTAGGTTGGTGGGCAAGGGCGATGGATTCCCAAGAGGAATGGCGTGCATGGACCAGGGTATGGAGCACACACTGGGCTGGATAATCCCAAGTGGACATCAGGTCTTTGAAGATACCAGGGAACTGGTTTGAATGGGAGGCCCTTGAGAAGCCACTCTGAAGGAAATACCTCAAGCTAGTGAAAGAACCCCTTCCTGGCAGCAGAGGTACTGCTGTCTCCCCGGCCCATGGAATATAGGCTGGTCGACAGTGTCAGCCTGGCACAGGCTCGGATTGTGGGAATGGTGCTGTGGACCCAGGGTGAGAGAGTACCTTGTGGCAGGGAGACTGTGCAGTCCCATTGGTGCCAGATGGCTCTCTGGGCCTAGTGGATATGCTCTTGTGCTGATGGCAGTGGTAGGCAACATGGGGGATGACATATACCAGTCCTGACTGGGGCATTTGATAGTGTCTAGAGAAGACAAACAGGAGCAGGTGTCTGAGGAAGGAGAGTGGGCCTGTGGGATCCGTGTCTTCCTCCTAAGCTCTAATGGCATTCCGTCGGCGTTCAGGCTTCACCCGGCACATCTCAGTGTGTGTGGTGGAAAGGGAGGGTCAGGGATGTGTCCGCTGTGCACTGTCTTCTTCTGACCTCCGCTTCCCCAAGACTCTTCCAGCGAAAGCAGGAAGATTGGATGGAGACACAAAAGCTCTGTCTGCTTTGCTTTCCTAGCTGAGGCGAGCAGGCCAGTTTCTCTCTCCCACCAGCCACCTACCTGCCTGCCCTGCCCCTGGCATTGTGCTGCCAGAGGTGCTGTCCATTTAGAGCATAATGTGAATAACATTCCTTGGAACTGTGCAATGAGGCGACCCTGCAGGCAGTGCCTTTTAGATGTTCAGTTGATGAGTCATTTGTGCATTTATCCTTCCCTCCCCACTCCTTCTCCCTTCCTCCCTCCATTATCTGTTTATTTATTTATTCTTTGAGAGTATTCCTGCCCTCCTGGAACTTACAGTCCACTGGGAGCACAGACATTTGTGGGTATAATTACAGTAAAGGTCTATGAGAGCCATGATGAGAGAAGAACAGCTGCTATTGGGACCTAGAGCAGGGCGCCTGCCCCGCCTCGGGGGCCTGGTGTCAGAGGCAGCTTCCATAGGCTTCAGAGCAGGGGATGCTTCTATAGGCAGTAGGCTACTACTGCTTTGTCCTTGGGCTGTGTGTAGAAAGTAGGTCTTGGAAAGAGCCTGCCCTACACAGAGGGCCTTGCCTGTTCTTCTTCCCTGTTCTATAGAAAGTGTATGGGGTGCTTTGGGAGGCCGAGGTGGGCAGATTACTTGAGTTTGGGAGTTTGAGACCAGCCTGACCAACACAGAGAAATCCCGTCTCTACTAAAAATACAAAATTAGCTGGGCATGTGGCAGACATCTATAATCCCAGCTACTGGGGAGGCTGAGGCAGGAGAATCACTTGAACCTGGGAGGCTGAGGTTGTGGTGAGCCAAGATGGCACCATTTTACTCCAGTCTGGGCAACAGGAGCAAAACTCCCTCTCAAAAAAGAAAGAAAGTGTGTGTGTATGGTATGAGGTTCAGGAGGACAAGGGTGACTCAGATGTCTGGCTTGCTGGTACTGAGGAGGGGCCATCCCTGCACTTTCAGCCCATTCCTCTCTGGCTAAGGGTTAGTGATCATTCAGTGGCCCTCAATGCCTGGAAGGCTAACTCCTCTGTCCATAGCCTGGCCCCTCCGGACCCCTACCCTCCTCCCAGCTGCACCACGAACACCTGCCCTCCTGCACGGAGCCTTCATTGGCCTGGTAGATGTGCCAGCAGCCCCTCCTAGGAAGCTTCCTCCTCCCTACCAACTTCCAGACTCACTTGCTCTGAGGAGCTCAGTTCCACTCTTGTGCCCTGGCCTACCACCCCACCTGGCCACACACTGTGGCACAGCTTTGTTTTCCTCTGAACATTTCTTAAATATGGTTATATGCTTCCCTGTGACCTGTCTTCTGTTGTCTCTGTTAGCTAAGAATTTTTAAATGTTAACTTTTTCAGGTACAAAAACCCTAATTGAATTTTAAGCGTCTTCTGAGGACGACGTCTTAGTCATCATTTCACCTCTCCGCACCTGCAGGTGGTTTGTGCTTATTAAATATCTTGATTTGAAAATGGTGAGATTATCCTCACTATGTGAGATTTGCTGATGGCCCATCAGTAGATTAAA